TATTTTTTTTTTTTTTAGACTTTTTTTTAGCTGATCAAATATCGGGTTAAATATCGGTGGGGTGGCCGATGTCCGATATTCAGTTTTAAGGCCGATACCGATAGGGGGCCGATTATATCGTGCATCCCTAATTTAAACACAATTTTTTTATGTCCCACCATGCTAATATGAAACAATTGTGTCAAAGTAACTAAATATGATGTCGAAAAATGCCTAAAACTGTTACATACATTTTTTCAGTGCAGTTTAGGGGTTCAAGCAGCCGTCAGAATTCCTTTGATTTGATCACATTTTATTATCAGGAAATCAGACGCCTTTCTGATCCCTTTTCTTTCCCATTCAGCTTTTCAGTGATGTTGCCTACAAAGCCAGAGATCGGGAGGACCTGATTGCCGGCATTGATGAGTTTTTGGATGAAGTGATTGTGCTTCCACCTGGAGAATGGGATCCCAAAATCCGCATTGAGCCACCGAAGAAAGTCCCCTCAGCTGACAAAAGGTTTGTGTTTCTCTGAGCTCTAGGAGCTGGGATAAAGTTAGAGAGAAACCTTCTGCAATGATTCCCAGTGGCCACCAAAGCCGCTTTTACACCCATGAATTAGACTTAACAGGGAAAGAGATTGTGAGCTTGAGCTTGAAAGCAGGAGATTAAAGCTTCATGATGGGTGTGCAATCAAAGTCTGTGATCATCATCGTTTGTGACCTTTTTTCCTGCAGGAAGTCGGTGCTGTCGTTGAACGAGCTGGGTCAGATGAACGGGACGGCCGGAGGAGGGGGAGGTCTCTCTGAGGACGAGGAGATGCCAGTACAGCATGAGCTGGGAGAGGAGCTGGCCTTTACTGGTCGGTGGGTAATTCAGAGCTCAAGCTAATCAGAGGAGTGGAGCAAATGATTTCCACCTCCATAAACGTGAAACATGTTTTCCTGTTTAGCTGCTGCTGTCAGCCTGCAGAGTGGGACTGGACCAAATGGGGAATATTGCTTATTGAACGAGCATAAAAATAATGAAAAAATGTAGTAAACATAAATAAACCCTGGTAAAACAAATCATGTTGAAACATTTCCGAAAAGTAAATTTGTTATTGTTCAAAATGTTTTCTCCAGTATAGTCGCATACCAAAAACTAATCATATTTCTAAATTATCACACTATTATATTTATACCAATGCCAACAACAAAAAACATTATAAAAACGAAACATAATTTTATAATTTCATCTTTGTACATTAATCTTGCCCTTCTGAGGCTTTGTGAAGATAAATCTGTTTTCCATGGTCCAATGTTGCAACATATTCTCATTATCAGTTCGTATGAAATCGTACGAAAAGTTATGCACAGTATTTCGTACGTTTTGGACGTTTTTCCTCGAAAAAACAGATCAGTGCGCATGCGCAGGCAGACAGATGAAAAAAGCAGATCCGCGGACGGATGTAAAACTGGGAAAAACAGTGCAATAATCACTTCTTGATGTCTCTAACTAGGTTGCTTGCTGTTTTGTATCTTAGGGTCAGGGTTAGAGTTAATTCTATGTTAAATTCTATGTTATTGAATGGTGCGTAAGATGCGCATGCGCAAGGATATCTTGTCTTGAGGCAAGACGTAAAAATACCACGAAATACGATGAAAAAAAACGCCAAAAACGTACAAAATAACGGGCAAAACCGAAGATTTCATACGAACTGATAATGAGAATACACTGAATATTGTGTCACCTAAAACAAATAATGTACCAGTTTATTAACAGAGAAGCTAATAGTCAGCTTTAGATTTTTTTATTATATAAAAACTATTTATTTTTTGAGAATGTGTTTAACAGCAACTATGCAAATTAACAAAGAAAAATTAGACTATATTCTATTATTTTCCATGTGAATCCCAGATTGTTCATTCTTCTTTGCCTTTTCTAAAAAGTGCTTTTAATCAGTCCTAGCTGATGTTTGAAAAAGGAGGCGAGAAAAGCAGAATAAAGCCTTAGCCTCGCTGCATGCAGTTAGCCTAGCCTTAGAGCTAAACCAGGTCATGAACAAAGACCGAGTGAAGCGTCTCTATCTGTCTTTGGACTGCTGATTCATTTTGATGTTCAGCTGATCAGGTTCAAACGGTTTCACCTCCAGCTTCTCTTAATAAGTTTTCTTCCCTCGCGACTCGGACTGTCAATCATTTGCACAACAACTGTTGCAACAGTTCCTGTCACTTCAGGACGTAGCTTAGCTGCACCCAGAGCTCTCTTATACTGCATCTACGGCTTTTAACGAGCATGCTTAGTGTGAGAGATTGCCTTCAAGTCAATGAGTCGATGCAATCAACTGGTTTTCCTTATCTGTATGATGTAATATGAGTTTTTTAACACAAATTTTTTAAATGCATATAAAGAAAATAAATACATGCACTACATTTCAATTTGTTGGTAGGGTTCAACTTAATAAAATGTATTTCTGTAGACCTATATTTGACCCTGCATTAAATTAATTTATATTCAACTAACTCGAAACATTAAATAACCCAATGACAATTGAATTAATAGAAAAATAATAATAATTGAACTTAATTGATCTCACATTGGAGTAGTTCACTCTCTGCATCTAACCCATCCTCTTGGGGAGCATTGGGCTGCCATTGTGGGGCACCAGAACCTTAGAATTCCAAGCTCTATGACCTAAGGCCGCCACTCCCCCCAATTGGTTTTATCAACTCAGTTTTATTTACTTTAAGAGCAGAAACAGTTTTTGTTAACAAGCATGTCACATGGTTAAAACCTGGATGAGTTAGATCTTCCTCTGATCATGGATCTTGCTCTTAAGAAACTGATGGTTTAATCTGTGTGGACTTGGGTAAAATCTACCGCCACTCTCCCCATGCGGGTCGTTCTCTGGTGAAAGAAGTCCGACAATTAAAGGAAGTAATCTTAGCAAGGAGCAATTTTCATTGAAAGATGAAAGCTCACAAAGCGGCCTAATAGTGAACTCAAGAAGTTTAGGTTAGTTATCGTCATACATTAAATGTTCATACTAGGGATGCACAATATTGGGATTTTGGCCGATATCCGATATGCCGATATTTTAAAACTCATGTA